CATGTAAATAAAAGATTAAATCCGATATGTTCTAATCGGTTTTGAAAATTCATACGACTGAGTTTTGTTAATGTTTTAAATGCGTATATGTAATTGATAAATTTTATACGGATGAAAGCTTAAATTTTTACGAGTTTATACGTATTTTCACGAAGGTAATGTAGCAGTGCATCGATACACAATTTATATTCGAAATTTTTCAATGTTCATTATTGTTCATGATACAGTTCACGGTATTGTTCATTACCTTATTTTACTGTTCATAAATACATTTTTACCTCAAAATTTTATAACAAACACAATTCAATAATATATGATCGTATTTTCTTAAAATGAGTTCAAATATTTGATATTTACAAGAATATCATTTTTAAAAGTTAATGTGACATCTCGGACTCGTATCCGGGTCGGGTACAGGTTGGAACATAATGAATTGTAACTTTTAATAGTCGATAGACTTAATAAAGCGACATTCTATAGTTGAATAATTTTATAATTTTTAATAGTCAAATGATTTAATAAAGTAATATCTTATAGTCGGGGGACGTTTGTGTACTTTACCCTTTAAATTATGTTTATTTTAAAAAATAAAACTATTGAGAACTAAAGACTAAAATTATGATAAATTTAGTAGGATGAAGAACATATACTTGGTCTAACTCGCTGAACATCAAACAAAATGTAATATTCTACACGTGGAATTTAGCCGCCATTGCAGGATTTGAAGTTTTCAAACAAAGTGAGCGTTAGGGGGGTTAAGATATTAATACTTAAAGCCGTATTTTATTGTTTCTTTGGTATTTAAAATTATTTTAATTTAGTTTTTTTTTGTTTATGATAAAAATTTCATTCCAAACTTTTATCAAGGAAAAATCAATTGACATTTTAAGATGGCACTGTTAACAATCTCACATGAATAATTAATACCAATGGGATAATAAATTTGAAATAAGATTTGGATATTCAAACATGTTATCTGCATAAGTGAAATAATCCAATTAATTACAATTGACATTTTAAGATGGCACTGTTAACAATCTCACATGAATAATTAATACCAATGGGATAATAAATTTGAAATAAGATTTGGATATTCAAACATGTTATCTGCATAAGTGAAATAATCCAATTAATTAGTAATTAATGGTAAATACTTATTTCCGTTTTGAATTCACTATAATCAGAATTAAAACATCAGTATTATTCAAATACAAATTATTTCAATTTATATAGATGGAATATTCGTAATGCCTACAGTTAATACTCGGAATTTAACTTCTTCTAGAAGCCATTTACTTATTCTAGAAATTCATATATATATTTGCAGTCAATTTTTTTTCTTCTAAAGACTTATTTTCGTTGAAGACATTTAATAAAACTTGGATTAGAAATGGTCGTAAAAGAAAGTCGGCTTCTTGGAAGCTACTCGTCCCTTTAATGAAGAATATTTTCAATAGCTGTTAAATAAGTTTAAAAAAATAATAATTTAGCCATCTTTTATATGTAGCACAAGTTGGGGAGGGAAAAAGTATAAGCAAAAGGAATGCAATAACACAGTATTTTTCAAATCAAAAGCTTAAATACCACACTTTGAACATCATTTGTCACTGCTCATGCCTACTTCATGTTGGGATAATCTTAAAACAAAATTCTTTTTGTTTTTTTGTTTCGCAAGAGCAAGCCTGCAAAATTTGGAGAAATCTTCACCATTACAGAAGAAGAAGAAACAAGGGGGCAGATATTGATATAACTATCAAATAAGAAGTATCCTTTGCAAGATATATCAATATTCTTGTGTCAAAAGCAATCTTAAATCCTTGCCAGATACAACACCTCAGTTCACGGTCTGCTTGATTCCTAGATCACTAATCCCAGTCTCTCTCTCTCTCTCTCTCTCTCTTTTACTTGGGCCATAAAAGTTAAAAAAATGAATTGGAAAATCGGCCTATTTTCTAGGTAAACCATAGAAATGATCACTAATATTTGTATGACCCTGAATTCTGAAAATCACACTTAAAGGACGAAGTTATGCATTTTTTTTTATTTTTCCAGAATCATGGGCGACCTAGTGGGCATGAAAGCACTGACGTGGAATCCAATCAATATCTTCTAGAAGATCAAGTCAACAGTTGCGTGAAGACAGAAGATTCAGCTACAAATTCGAATTTAAAATCGAGATTTATCTTTATTTTTAGGATTTAATTTCAAAAATTTTCTTTTAGGATTTTTAATGTTATTTAGGGTTCTCCAAGAGACTACAAATACCCCATCGCGGTAAGCCTAAAGAATCATCTCTCATATCTCGGATTGAATTGTTCTTCTTTTCTTTAGTTTTGTAGATGTTCTTTCTTTTTAAAATGCTAAGTATGGTTTCTACCATGCTTAGCTAAGTTTTTCACAAGTCGAAGGCTGAAGCGATGACTCAATTCCTAACGTGAGAATTGAAAAGAACCTTATACCATTCGAGTTAAATTTCTCAATTTTCTGGAAACTAGATTGGTAGATGGTCTTTCTTAAAATAAAAACACTTTCACTTCAAAAATAGATTTTGGCTTGAATGTTGTTATGGTTTATCGTTGGAATTATAGAATCAATATATTCAAATTCCCTTGAACACACTTAGAGATAGCACGCTAAGAGAAAATTGGGATCGAGTTTGACTTTCATAGAGAAAGCATAATTCGAGTCGGCCTTTTCCAAGTGCTTTTAAATTGTTTTGAGTTAACAATGATTGTCGCCGTTAATTCAAACAAGTATTGAGATTTCTAAAATAGATTTAGGAAAATAATCACCAAAGAGAAAAATGAGTCACAAGGATTGAATCTTGCGGACTCAACCCAACATTTTACCGGAGTAAAATTCTATTCAAGGATCGATTGGAATTGAGGTAAAGCTAAAGCACGAGGCTGATTTTTATTATGTGATTTTCATTTTCTTTAAATCTTTATTTTCTTTACCTCTCAACAAAACCATTTTTTTAATTTTACTTGCAATATTTTCGCCCATATCAAGATCAAAAAGCATTCTACATCAACAAATCTAGAGTCCCTGTGAATCAACCCTTACTCCCTCTATACTATCTTTTTATATTTTATCTTGTAATTAAGGAATAATTATTTGACATAGAAACAATGTGTGTCATGATATTATCTGATATAAGAGCATTGATGCTCCTAATTGATCTTCGACATATATGTTGAAAAATGTGATAAATTAGAACCTTTGAGGCATATTTTTTAAGGGTAAAGATGAATATTTGAATAATACATTTACTAATTCAAATTATACTCCATGAGATCTTTACAACAGTATTTTACATGCTCAAAACGGTTGAGTTGTGAATGAGAAATTGATGCTCAAAGTAGGGTACATGTGAATTGTGTTGCATAAGGAAAATGAGAAAACATATTTTCCACATTGGCGGGATAACAAACATATGAATGATTTATATACACCAATCAACTTTTTAGTCATTGAAAGACTGGAGTTAATATTATACTTCGTGTGTAGGTGTAGTGGATGCAAATCCAAGCCCGTTGTTACCCATTGGGGATGGGTTGCACTTCCATGTCGTGGGTTACACGAAAGTCCGGATTGATCGGATCCTCATGGCCTACAGACAAATATATTCTAACTAAAGCAATATTAATTAATTATTTTATTTTATTTGAATACTAATGAATAGCCGTACTTACCGGGAGACGTCCAAAAGATCTCGAGCTCTAAACTGTATATTTTTTCATCTTGGATTATTATAGTGTAACAAAATATATATATACACGATTACACGTATGAATGTATTATTTATGTATGTACGAGTGTTTCATCCTTTGAAAAGTCACATTTGGATGGGAACGTATATAATAACATTACATACATATATACATCCAGTTTCGTCTGATTTCGGGATGTAAGACACTTAACGATCGAACAAACTCTCTGAATTCAGTAACCCCGTTAAGTTTAGCATCGAATAACTGTTGAAACTATTATAAGAAATGCTAGGCAATTAAATACATCAGATTGCAGAAACCAATATCCAGAAATTTGCAAAGCATGAAGATAATCTGCAGATACTATATTCAATCAGAAAAATTATACAAGTTCCGGTTGCTTATTAGCTCCCATTGATACCTTTTGATGTAAAAAGAAGAAGAAGAAGATTTATAGGAATTGTTATTTGCCAGTTACTGCCCAGCTTTCAAGGGGTTTCAGAAGCAAGAATGAGAGGATCTCTTTGTTTTCAGCTTTCTTGAAGCAAAAGCAACCCTAATTGATTAGTAAAATCCAATTGGGATTTGAGATTAGTCCACTTGAGAATTAAGACAAATATATGTCTAACATTGTTTGCGATCTTATTTTTCTAATCAAGGTTTATCAATTTAACAAATTCAAACGTGGAAAATATAGGTTTTAAGATTAATCCACCCCAATTGACTGGTAAAATCCAACTTGGATTTAGGATTAATCCACTTGAGAATTAAGACTATATATGTCATAATCACATGAAATAATTGTTTATAATTCAACCTTTCATGAATGTTTAAGGTTTATGGATTTGAATCACCCACTCATACTAACTAGACAAAACATCATTAAAAAAAAGAAATTGACAAAAAATTAAATTTTATAATAGAATTATAAATATAAAGAGCTAAATTTATTAATTAAGAATAAATAAAAAAACGAGGATTAAATGTATTATTGCACTACTTTAAAAATGATACATTAAGAATTTCATCAATTATATAACCGCGAATGATGAAAAGATTGGTAACTTTGATGCTAAAATTGAAAAAAAAATTGTTTGATAACCAAAATAATAGAGTTACTAACGAGTAATTTAGTCTTATAAATTTAGTTGTTATTATTTTAAAATCGTTAGTTTTAATAAAAAAAAAATAGAACCGGTCTACCTACTCCAATCATCTCCTCCAACACTGATATGGATCCCAATATTATAGCTCATTTTGTTCAAATCATTATTGGTTTGGTACACCCCTTCTTTCCCCCTTTAGTTTACAAACATCAAAAACAGAACAACTTATCCATCTTCCCCCTACTACTTTCTGCAATTTCACGTTTTGGAAACAGCTAGACTACAATGGCTGCACCCAGCTGTGGTAATTCCTTTTCCCCTTTCTCCCTAAACCATTGGGTTTGATTTCTTTACTCTGTTTCTTTATGGGTTTTAAGAAATTTGGTTGAGTAATCCAAATGTTTGTGCTTTATTAGTTTACTTGAGGATCTATGTGATTTCAGCATTGGAGATTCTTTGTTTTCTGGTTTACCTAAAAAAAATTACTCGTAAAAAGTAAAATGCTACAAATTCCTATTAATCAATTATCTCGTAGTTACAAATGTGTCATATTTTCCTTCTTTTTTGGGTATCTTGATCATGATGTTGGAATTTGAGTGCGTAGATATTTGATTTGGACTACTAATACACTATCTATCTCTTCTTACGGAAAAAGTAGAATTGTTTTACATGGAATTATACTTCCGAAAATAATAGCAAAGATGACCCGAATCAAGTAACCATGTCGTTTCACTGAAAGTTCTTGTACTAGACAATTCTTGCCCAAATCAGCCATTGCTCGCAACACTTTCTGTTTGGAACAGCTTGTGTTTATGACAAATGATTGCTCAGAACAGTCTTTGTTAAGAATATCTCCTTCGAGTCATTCACACATCACTTTCATGGAAAAGCAGCTCATGAAAAAACATCAAGAGGAGATGTTTTTCATTGTCACCTTCCTCTTTTTACCAAATAATTCTTCATATAGTGCGTCTATTGTCGCCATTGGTTTTAAATAAGTCTTTTTAAACAATTCTAGGGAGGAAAAACGAATAAATATTCATACCTTTGTTTGAGTACTTGAATCTTTATAGAATAGCCGGCGCCTTCCTAATATAAGAGAAGATGTGGTCAACTATTAGCACTCGTTGGAAGTTGGATTCTTGGTTGCATTTTAATTAAAGATGATGATGCACAATCAACTCCTTCTAGTATAGAAGTATAATCTGGTATTGTATGAGGATGTAGTTCTATTCCCTTATGTGGCACATTGATTGCGAGATCTAGAGGTTAATTTACTCAGATTTCGGTGTGAGTCTAAGATAAGATGATATATATATTTATTCAACATTATTTAAGTTTCTTCATGTACTTGAAGGTTCTTTAGCAGGTCATATTTCGATACCTATGTCAGACAGGGTTACTTGAGCGATATAAAAAACATGAACTACATAGTTTATAGAGGTTCCTTCATTTTTGAAGCATGTTTGAGGTGAACAATGAATTTCAATGCCTTAGTGTTGTTTAGGGTGAAGAAACTAATTAAAATGATTGCTAAATTTATTTGATCTTTCAGCTGCTTGTTGTCTCTTCAGTCTCTGAAATATAATAGCTAATAGAAAATGTTATGGTTATGTAACAGGGACAACGACGGAGGCTGTGGGGAACGGAATACCAACAGGAGACAAACTCGTATTGAGGGGCTTGAAATTTCATGGTTACCATGGGGTAAAGCCTGAAGAGAAAAAACTGGGTCAGAAGTTCGTGATCGATGTAGATGCCTGGATGGATCTTCGGAATGCCGGTAAATCCGACGACTTATCCAATACACTTAGTTACACCGCTATTTACCGGTGAGTAACTTGAAGATGTTGAAAACATTGGATGGATTATTTAGCTTGTTTTTTTTTTTTGGTAATTTGATTATTTTTTTTGGCAACATATGCAATAGCATAGTGAAGGAAGTAGTGGAAGGACAATCTCAGAATCTTTTAGAATCAGTGGCTCAAATGATTGCATCAAAAATCTTCACAAATCACCCTCAGATATCTGCTGTTCGTGTGCAAGTTCAGAAGCCTCATGTTGCTGTTCAGGGTTCTATCGATTACCTTGGAGTTGAGATTGTCAGATATAGGAGCATTGATGCTCCTAACTGATCTCCGACATATACATTTATACATGTATGAACGTATGTATGTACGAATGCTTCATCTTTTGAAAAGTCGTTTGCGGGTGGGAACGATGCCTGGTATTGCCTGACTGGTTGTAGTTTTTTTTCATGTGTGATATGTGTTGTGTGGTGGAATGTGTCCAAGCCGCCAAGACTATAATTTCTTCCTATGAATATTAATCAAGGGCTATCCAAATTATTGTGTTTTTATACTTGTCTAAGATTGCCACTAGTAAGAATCAAAGCCATCGAAGTTGTCCTATGATGGAAGATATGAAAACATTACATGCATATATATATGCACACATACAGTTTTGTCGGATTCCGGGGCACCGGGATATACGAAATTTATCGATCAAACAATGAACGATGAAAATATAAACTAAGAGCAGGTTGAACTAAAATTCATATAATACTGAAAACAGAATAGAAAATATTTAAGTTAACGTGTAAACGGATGAAAAATGATTTTACTATTGTATTCAAGTAAAATCCAAATATAATAGGAGTACGCTAGAGGGATCGAAATCATAATTTAACCTAAATATTTCAGCTAAAAGCTTAACCATCATAAAATCTCAACCGTCTATCAGAAAGTCGGTCAACAATCATGCCCTGATGACCACCGGAACCAGACTGGTGGTGAGCTACACCTTATAAGAACCTATTTAAACATGCAAAATTAGAAACAATTCTAACTGAAAAACCTGCCCTTTTTTCTTTCCTTTGTTTTCTTTCCCTTTCGAATGGGGAAAGAAAAAAATGCAGAAAAAGCAACTTTCTTTTTCTTTGATTATACAAATTAATAAAGGATACATTATTTTCCCATTCATATTAATGTTTGACGTAGAATTTGTCGATTCTGATTGTTGCATTGGGTTATTGGAGATTTTCTTCCTTTTTTTTAATTAATGATCATTGATTTTCCTAGGAAATATATTGTTTCTAATGATCATTGATCATTATGTGGAATTTCTAGAATAATTTAAAGCCCAAAAAGGATCCTAATTTTTTAATGGAATTGCTTTAGAGTAGAGGGATAATTCTTCTATTTGATTCATTACATTCAACATTGAATCATTGGCTTTTGTTGAAATGCTTGCATGAAGATATAGGGGTGGTTTTGATTGGCTAAAGCTCCATTTTTTAAATTTATGTTATTTTGTTTCAAAAAAGAACCCTTTTAGGGAGATAAGAAATGGGATTATAGTTCATGGGTGAATTTAGATACTCATGGATGGTTAAAGAAGAACAAGTGTGAGAATTTAGGTGTCCAAATGGGAAATACCTGTGCCAAATCAGCGGTGGAAGCCGAAAATGATAAGAAAAAACAAGATGGCGATGGAAATGAAGGAGAAACTAAAGATCAGGATCAGGCTGGAAGTAAAGAATCCGACGCGGTTCAAAAACAACCTCCGGAAGAAATGAAGATGGAACAACGATCGAAATCCATTGAAACAACCCAAAGGCAACAATCAAAAGCCAGTGAAGCAATACCAAGACAGCAATCGAATGTCCATGAAACAACACAAAGACAACAATCCAAATCTCACCCTAAAAGACTCAACTCCAGCCCATCTCAACTTGCAGCATTTAATGAGGGTAAAACTGAGACTCGGAAAACCAGAAAGGCTCATAATGTGAAGAGGCAATCATGTGCAGGGTTGAAGGTTGATTCAGTGTTGCAAACCAAAACAGGTCATTTGAAGGAATACTATAGCTTGGGGAGGAAGTTAGGTCGAGGACAGTTTGGAACAACTTTCCTTTGCATCGAGAAAGGTACCGGGAAACAATTCGCTTGTAAATCGATTGCAAAAAGGAAGCTTACGACTCTTGATGATGTCGATGATGTGAAGAGAGAAATTCAGATAATGCATCACTTGTCAGGGCACCCTAATGTTATATCCATCAAAGGGTCTTATGAGGATTCCATGGCGGTTCATGTTGTGATGGAGTTGTGTGCGGGGGGTGAACTTTTTGATAGGATTGTAAAGAGAGGGCATTATAGTGAAAGAAAGGCAGCTGAGCTAGCAAGGATTGTTGTTTCTGTCGTTGAAGCTTGCCATGCCATGGGAGTAATGCACAGGGATCTCAAGCCTGAAAATTTCCTTTTTGTGAATGAACAGGAGGATTCACCTCTTAAAGCCATCGATTTTGGATTATCGATATTCTTCAAGCCTGGTATGTTCAAAATGGTGCATTTTTATCACTTCTCATTTCTAGTTAAAATGAACTTTTAGCCCAATGTTGTGGAAGACTTCGATGTTCCTTAGATAGTACATTTCATTTATAGGAAGAAAGAGTTTAGAGATTTTTCCACAACGTTTTGAATTCACCAATGTATTGCTTACTTAAAGAAGGTCATCAAATCTTTTAGGGGACATCTTAACCGATATTGTCGGAAGCCCGTATTATGTCGCACCCGAGGTATTGCAAAAGCGTTATGGTCCGAAAGCGGATGTGTGGAGTGCTGGGGTAATCACTTACATTCTCTTAAGTGGGGTGCCTCCATTTTGGGGTGGTAAGTGTTCATCAGATACAATTTCTGTTATTATTTGCGTTGCTGTTGAAATCTTAAGTTTTTCGAGCAACCTTGTTATGAAAGTTTGGTCTATTTCTTGTTATTTTGATGTAGAAACTGAACAAGAAATATTTAACGAGGTTTTGAATGGTGAGCTTGACTTCTCATCTGATCCCTGGCCTAATATCTCTGAAAGTGCTAAAGAACTGGTGAGGAGAATGCTCGACAGAGACACAAAGAGGCGGATAACAGCTCACGAAGTACTACGTAAGTCTCGTTATAACTTAGATGTCGCGACTAATGGATTAAACTTGCAGAATTAGCTTAATTTGATACTTGATAATTTGCAGGCCACCCTTGGGTTCAAGTTGATGGGGTGGCACCAGACAAGCCACTTGATTCTGTTGTCTTAAGCCGCCTGAAGCAATTTTCTGCAATGGATAAGCTCAAGAAAATGGCCTTAAGAGTAAGTATCTTCCGTTTACAATGACCCGTCCAGCTTCAGGAAAGATGCATTTTGAAATTGAAACTCATTTTCAATGCAGAAATCCCACGTTTAAATGATACTTATTTGGTTAAAATCTCCATTATTTCGTTGTTTCTTTTAAAGGTCATTGCCCAAAGACTTTCTGAAGAAGAAATAGCTGGGTTGAAAGAAATGTTCAAGATGATAGACACTGATGGTAGCGGTCAAATCACCTACGATGAACTCAAAAATGGATTGAAAAGATTTGGTGCCAATCTTGCAGAATCAGAGTTCCGTGCTCTAATGCAGGCCGTAAGTTACTTCGACTCTTCTCGGTGTCCAACCCGAGTATCGACAGATATCTTGATACCAGAATGATACCAATTTGACATGATTGTCTTTTGCTTATTTGGGAATCTCAGGCAGACATTAATAACAGTGGTACAATTGATTACGAAGAGTTTGTAGCTGCAACATTGCATCTAAACAAGATTGAGAGGGAAGACAATCTATTAGCAGCCTTCTCGTATTTCGACAGAGATGGCAGCGGCTACATCACTCCGGACGAGCTTCAAAAAGCTTGTCAAGAGTTCGGTATCAAAGACCTCCGCCTCGATGAAATCATGAAAGAAGTCGATGCAGATAACGTAAGCATCTCGAATCCATTTCCATCATGCATATGCAAACTTGTGTGTTTTGGATAAACTTAAACCCCATTAAGGTGAACAGCTTATCGTATTTTTTTTTTTATTTTTTTGGTTTTCCACAGGATGGTCGGATTGATTACAATGAATTTGTAGCCATGATGCTACCTAAAGTTGGTAAGAAAGGTACATAATACATATTTTGGCAAAAGATATTATAGTATTTTTCCCAGGACATTTTATTTAGTTTTTATTCAAGCCTTTTAATTTAGCTCTTCAAAGTTTGGGATCATCACCACAAAAAAAAAACCTTTAATTGTTATTGTGCCTGAAATCTGTTGTATACACTTCCATCTATTGGTTCATACTTTTGTAATTAATGAAAATTGAATTTAAGAACAAGTAAAAATACATATATGTTTTTCACAATTTATTTCTATACATTTTCTTTTTCATACATATTCTTTTTAATAAATTAAATTTTAATAATTGTCCAAATTATATTTCTTGTTCATATTAGGTATCTATTTTTTTCCTAAAATAAGTGTATAATATTTTTTCTGTTACAATTTAAAATGTTTGTCCGTTAATGATTGTTTAAAAAATTATCGACAACTCAAATCATGAGACGTGACATCTTTATAAATTTTTATTTAAAAGAAAACACAAATTTCTTTAAAATCTAAATATGTTAATCCCAAAATATCAATTTTGACACCGACCACCTCACTGTCGTCAATGGTCACCCATCTGTCCATCATCGAAATTCTAATATCGATTATTCCCCTTAACGTTGTTCCAATCTCTTAAATTCCCCCCCCCCAATCCCTAATACTCTAATATCTAATTCCTTCCCCTCCGGCCACCTTTTCCCCTTATCGTCACAGGCGACGAGATTCTAGAGAAGGCTGCTTTGTCTTTGTTTTAACACTCCCGATTCCTTACCATGAAAAAAAGAAGATTTGGCTTTAAAAGGAATTCCTCTCTTTCAGCTAAGTAAGAATTGTTTTCGAATAAACTCTTCGAAGAAATTAAATCTATAGTAGAATTACACCCATGCACGAAAGAGTTAATCCTTGAAGTTAGGGGTGTTCAAATAACCGAACTAATTCGGTTAACCGACCGAACCAAATTAATTCGGTTAATTCGATTCGGTTACCGAATTAATTCGGTCGGTTAACGGTTAAGAAAATTTTTAGAATTCGATTAACGGTTAATTAACCGAATTAACCGAAATTAAATTTTAAATATTAATATATTATATAACATATGGGCTCAACCTAAATCATTTAAAACCCAATTAATAATTTAAGATCTAATAACTTTTAAACTTAAATCAATATTAATAATTAAAAATTATATAAATTTTTTTTTTATAATTATATATTATTTAAATTAATTGTAAACTGTTTTTTAATTAAAAAATATTAAATATATTATATATAAAATATGGGTTAAGCCCAAACCATTTAAAACCCAATTAATAATTTAAGATCCAATAACTTTTAAACTTAAATCAATATTAATTAATTAAAAAATTTATCTAAAATTTTTATTTTATAATTATATATTATTTAAA